ATCTGGAATAAATGTGATAGATAGATAACCTTTATTACTAATATTAGTGTAATTACACAACATTTTATTAGCACCACAGCTAACACCAAACAATCATGATAATTCACCAGATACTGAATGCTCCTGCTGGCCTCTCCGTCCCTCTAATAGCTCCTCCTAACTTTGTAACGATGTTAAATGGTGAATTTAATGGATTAGACAGAAAAATAAAAAAATAAATTTAAAACATCAGAAAAAATTCTGAAAATTCACTACATGTTCAGATGTATATAATTACTCGCTGCATCATAAAAGCAATTTTTGTAAAATGGCTACAGCCTCTTCTCATTTGGTGACGTACTCGTTTACCAATGCCTTGGACTTATGACGGGCTCTCTGACCAGTATTCATACCTAAATAATGTATATTAGAACTGATTTCTTCTATTCTGTTTATTTCAATATACAGTACATTACTGTATAAACATTTAAAAATATACCAGAAATGTTTTACGTAAATGGTGCAAAGGTGACATTAAAACAATATCAAAGATGGTTGACACAAACCCACTACCATTATAGTATACTCCCCACTTAGCGATGAATTAGTTTAACTACGTGGTCTTAGGAACAGAACTCCGTCATTAAGTGAGGAGAGGCTGTATAATTCTTTGTAGAAACATGGTACAAAGATGATACTTATACCAAAATGTTGCCAGATTCTTAAGCTATTTTTCTATAAGCTTAACTCGTTGTATGTGTATTTTACTTTTTTACTGTTGTCTGTAATATATAAAAGTTATGCAAAATTAAAATCAAGTTATCACGCTGGAGTTTCATTTTTATTTTATTTTTTCTTTCTAATATACATATTTAATTCACCATCTGGCATGGTTCCAAAGTGGGCGAAGCTGTAACAGAGAGAGAGAAGCAAGCAGTGTCTCAGTAACCGATGCTACACCATGCTGTAAGATGTGCCTTACCCTGCTATAAAATACTGTATAATTATATTATACTATCAATAAAGGTTATCTACCCATCATATTTATTCCAGAATAATATTAGGCATAACAAATAATGTAGAAGCATAATAAAGATGCCCAAATTAATAAAACCTGACATTATATAGAGAGGTACTGAAGGGTGGAGGGCGGGGAGGGATAAAAAAAGAATGACTCCGACCATTACAGAAAACGTTGCTATGCGCCTGAAGGGTAACTATAGAAGATCACTCTTAGCCTATGAAAAGACTGAAAAAAGTGTGATTTTCTTGAAAAAAAAAAATCCCAAGTGATCAGCTATGCAAGCATTTCCTAGAATATCTCGGAAGTAAGTCACTGACCTATTTCATGTTGTATTACCATTAATAATAAACAGATTGAAAGGAATTTCCCATCAAACATAAAACTGAATGTTTTAATTTTGGGTGGTGACACTTTTGAAGTGTCAGTATGGGGTGATTCCTCGATTAGCTGTGAGCAGAAAATTTGGGCCTAGATATAAGAGAATGGGTCTATGCAGTAAGTATGCACCATATCAAAAAAAAATCCTGCAGCATACAGTGCATAATGAGAAAAAATGGCAACAGTGTTTTTAGTTTAAAACAGCAAATTTGTGGTGTATTTTTGTATGTTTTTTATGGTTGTATTCTAAATTTCTTGGTCTCATTTGATAGAGTGGAAGATATACTACAGAAATAGAGATGATTTTGATTGGTTTCAGGACAGAAAGTAGCCTGAAATAGAGCTCAAAATAGCAGAAAAGTTTGATTTTTGCCGAAACTCCAGAGTACACAAATGATGTCACTTGTCCCATACACGTCCAGCTTACCAGTCTAATACGCATTTAGGAATGCACTGACATTATTTATATAATTATTACAATAATGCAGTAGTCTACATAACAGTAAATCTTCTATTTTTTGTGTGAATAAAAATTCAAACTGGAAAGCAAGTATAATATAAGAGGGACGTATCATAGTCTTTTGTTTTATGTTTATGGGGGAGGGGATTTTACATCCTTTATCCTTTGCCTCCTCCCTCCCTCTCCTTCTCTCTGATCAACATGGCTGTAGCTGGTGATATGTTTTGCTGGACAAGTTTTGTAATGCCCTGAAATTAAGAAGTATTTTGGGCTAGTGTTAATGTGTTCTAGGATTGCTCCTAGAGATACTGCAGCACGTGAAGATACTGGGAGTGCAACTGGGAGAGCTTGGAAATGAATAATGTTGTTAAGAATAGTCATTTAGAATGAAGCAGAAAACCCCAGACTGCCATTTTATCATAATTCCATGGCAAGGCTTTAAGATTTTGGTTATCATCAATTTATGCTTGAAAGAAAACCATATATGCTATGAAAAGTATCATGGTTTATCCATTTTTGTGTTTGTGTGTTTATTGTAACTAATCTTTCTTTCTTTCAACACACCGGCCGTATCCCACCGAGGTGGGGTGGCCCAAAAGGAAAAACAAAAGTTTCTCCTTTTACATTTAGTAATATATACAGGAGAAGAGGTTACTAGCCCCTTGCTCCCGGCATTTTAGTCGCCTCTTACAACACGCATGGCTTACGGAGGAAGAATTCTGTTCCACTTCCCTATGGAGATAAGAGGAAATAAACAAGAATAAGAACTAGAAAGAAAATAGAAGAAAACCCAGAGGGGTGCGTATATATGTGCTTGTACATGTATGTGTAGTGTGACCTAAGTGTAAGTAGAAGTAGCAAGACGTACCTGAAATCTTGCATGTTCATGAGACAGAAAAAAGGACACCAGCAATCCTACCATCATGTAAAACAATTACAGGCTTTCGTTTTACACTCACTTGGCAGGACGGTAGTACCTCCCTGGGCGGTTGCTGTCTACCAACCTACTACCTATAATTGTAACTAATATTAATTTTATTTTTTAACAAGTTGGCCGTCTCCCACCGAGGCAGCAGGGTGACCCAAAAAGAAAATACTTTCATCATCATTCAACACTTTCACCTCACTCATACATAATTACTGTTTTTGCATATACGTATAAAGATACACAACATATCCCTCCAAACTGCCAACATCCCAAACCCCTCCTTTAAAGTGCAGGCATTGTACTTCCCATTTCCAGGACTCAAGTCCGGCTATATAAAAATAACTGGTTTCCCTGAATTTTTTTTTTTTTTTTTTTTCAACAAGTCGGCCGTCTCCCACCGAGGCAGGGTGACCCAAAAAAGAAAGAAAATCCCCAAAAAGAAAATACTTTCATCATCATTCAACACTTTCACCACACTCGCACATTATCACTGTTTTTGCAGAGGTGCTCAGAATACAACAGTCTAGAAGCATAAACATATAAAGATACACAACATATCCCTCCAAACTGCCAATATCCCAAACCCCTCCTTTAAAGTGCAGGCATTGTACTTCCCATTTCCAGGACTCAAGTCCGACTATATGAAAATAACCGGTTTCCCTGAATCCCTTCACTAAATATTACCCTGCTCACACTCCAACAGCTTGTCAGGTCCCAAATACCATTCATCTCCATTCACTCCATTCTAACACATTCACTCATGCTTGCTGGAAATTCAAGCCCCTTGCCCACAAAACCTCCTTTATCCCCTCCCTCCAACCTTTTTGAGGACAACCCCTACCCAGCCTTCCTTCCCCTACAGATTTATACGCTCTCCATGTCATTCTACTTTGATCCATTCTCTCTAAATGACCAAACCACCTCAACAACCCCTCTTCAACCCACTGACTAATACTTTTATTAACTCCACACCTTCTCCTAATTTCTACACTCCGAATTCTCTGCATAATATTTACACCACACACCGCCCTTAGACAAGACATCTCCACCGTCTCCAACCACCTCCTCGCTGCAGCATTTACAACCCAAGCCTCACACCCATATAAGAGTGTTGGTACCACTATACGTTCATACATTCCCTTCTTTGCCTCCATAGATAATATTTTTTGTCTCCACATATACCTCAGTGCACCACTCACCTTTTTTCCTTCATCAATTCTTTGGTTAACCTCATCCTTCATACATCCATGTGCTGACATGTCAACTCCCAAATACTATTTGAAAACATTTACTTCTTCCATACTCCTCCTCTCCAATTTGATATCCAATTTTTCTTTATCTAAATCATTTGATACCCTCATCACCTTACTCTTTTCTATGTTCACTTTCAACTTTCTACCTTTATACACACTCCCAAACTCGTCCACTAACTTTTGCAACTTTTCTTTAGAATCTCCTATATGCACAGTATCATCAGCAAAAAGTAACTGTGTCAATTCGCATTCTGAATTTGATTCCCCATAATTTAATCCCACCCCACTCCCCAACACCCTAGCTTTTACTTCTTTTACAACCCCATTATTTTTCTCAGTTGTTTGTTGGGCTATCTTATTGAAACTTTGGCAATGTTATGATGGAAAGATGCTTCTTAACGTACACCAAAGATGAAAAAATCTGACCATAAGTAACGGAGTTCACTTCTCAGCCATTAGCTGCCTCTTAGTTGTATATTTTCATATGGTTTTTATAGTTGCATTCTCATTTTTGTAGTCTCATTTCATAGAATGGAAGATATATTACAGAAATAGATATGATTTTGACTGAGCTCAAAGTAGCGAAAATGTTCGATTTTTGCTGATGTTCAATGAACTTTCTTGTGTAAGTAAAGTTGGTTAACTTTATGAAGTGTATTCTAACCTAACCACTCTGTAATCTGGCAAACTCAGTAATCCAGTACACTACAGGTCCCAATGGTGCCGGATTTGTGATGGTGGACCTGTACCTCATTACTGGTTCAAGTTTACTTTAATCAAAATCACAAGAACTGTTACTATAAGTTAACATGACTAAGTACCAGCACCCCACATAGAGATATTATTAAAATCCAATGTAAGAAAACTAGGATACAAAGTGAGATTACTGAGAGTTGCAGAAGGGCCATCACCAACATATTAAAACAATGAGTGCAAACCATATCAGAATTTACTACCCCCTACAATAAGTTTACTTACCTGTTGGGATGCTCGACCAGTGAAAGTAGAAGGGCTGAGGAGGGTATCAATTTGATCATGTATGGGTGAAAAATATGGAGCAGCTTTTATCCTCTCCACCAAATCATTTTCCAGGCCTTCCTGCTTCACCTTGTTTCCGGCAGCCTGACTATGTACACGGATCTCTTCATGACACTCCTGAAATGGTTTACAGTAATAAATCAATGTAAATATCCAGGAATTAACTTCTGAATGTATAGCAGAGAAATATGTATGAAATACTAAAGAATATTGTATTTTTTCATGAACAGCATTACTAACTAGAAATACTGTATTACAAGAGTGAATACTGTGATTTTCTGGTGAAATATCACTTCCATGTAAATAGCTATAACAATATACAAGTCTTCAAAACAATAGAAGCTACAGTGATATACAGGGTTAAACAGAAATTTGATCCCATGGAACCTGGAAATTCCTATATTAAATGTTAAATGAGCAAGCTATTTAATTCTTTACATTCCCATTACTAAATTTACTAATTGTAATATTGCTATATGTTTTGTACTACCTCACTATTATAAATCAAATTAATCACTGCAGTTACCTAACTTTTATATCAGTATGCTCCATAACCTATGTCAATACAGAGTAAGAATTAAGATTTGTCTGCCTGAAATGCCTAGGCATGCTAGTGGCCGTCTTTGTAATTAATATTTTATAATACGTAAACAACACATTGAAAGCATTGCAAGGAAATAAACATTTTAATTTTAATTTTAATTTTTTTTAATCCATTATCTATATTGTGCCTAATCACTAGAAACACATCAACCTAAGTGTGCAACCATATATGATCTCCATGTTTATCAAGTACTTACTGTACTTTTGCTTTCTGTCACTTTACCTTTTCACACAACTGACTAATGTTGATTTTCTTTTTCTACGTACAGTATATTACTGCTATATCTGTATTCCTTCTTTTTTCAACGCACCAGCCGCATCCCACCATAGCAGGGAGACCCAAAAAGAAAAACATAACTTACTCTTTTTAACTTTAGTAATGTATACAGGAGAAGGGGTTACTAGCAACTTGCTCCGGACATTTTAGTTGCCTCTTACAACACGCATGGCTTATGGAGGAAGAATTCTGTTCCACTTCCCCATGGAGATAAGAGGAAATAAACAAGAACAAGAACTAGTAAGAAAATAGAAGAAAACCCAGAGGGGTGTGTAAATATATACTTGTACATGCATGTGTAGTGTGACCTAAGTGTAAGTAGAAGTAGCAAAGCGTACCTGAAATCTTGCATGTTTATCAGACAGAAAAAAGACACTAGCAATCCTACTATCAAGTAAAATAATTACAGGCTTCCATTTTACACTCACTTGGCAGGACAGTAGTACCTCCCTGGGTGGTTACTGTCTACCAACCCACTACCTAGTATATCTGTATTTCTTCTTTCAACAAACCAGCCGTATCCCACCAAGGCAGGGTGGCCCAAAAAGAAAAACGAAAGTTTCTCTTTTTAAATTTAGTGATTTATTCAGGAAAAGGGTTGCTCCCGGCATTTTAGTCGCCTCTTACAACACGCATGGCATACGGAGGAAGAATTCTGTTCTACTTCCCCATGGACATAAGAGGAAATAAACAAGAGCAAGAACTAGAATAGTATATAGAATAGGTGGTAAGTTACTAAATGCTGTAAAGAGTTTTTATGAGGATAGTGAGGCTCAGGTTAGGGTGTGTAGAAGAGAGGGAGACTACTTCCGGGTAAAAGTAGGTCTTAGACAGGGATGTGTAATGTCACCATGGTTGTTTAATATATTTATAGATGGGGTTGTAAAAGAAGTAAATGCTAGGGTGTTCGGGAGAGGGGTGGGATTAAATTATGGGGAATCAAATACAAAATGGGAATTGACACAGTTACATTTTGCTGATGATACTGTGCTTATGGGAGATTCTAAAGAAAAATTGCAAAGGTTAGTGGATGAGTTTGGGAGTGTATGTATAGGTAGAAAGTTGAAAGTGAACATAGAAAAGAGTAAGGTGATGAGGGTATCAAATGATTTAGATAAAGAAAAATTGGATATCAAACTGGGGAGGAGTATGGAAGATGTGAAAGTTTTCAGATACTTGGGAGTTGACGTGTCGGCGGACGGATTTATGAAGGATGAGGTTAATCATAGAGTTGATGAGGGAAAAAAGGTGAGTGGTGCGTTGAGGTATATATGGAGTCAAAAAACGTTATCTATGGAGGCAAAGAAGGGAATGTATGAAAGTATAGTAGTACCAACACTCTTATATGGGTGTGAAGCTTGGGTTGTGAATATAGCAGCAAGGAGGCAGTTGGAGGCAGTGGAGATGTCCTGTCTAACGGCAATGTGTGGTGTAAATATTATGCAGAAAATTCGGAGTGTGGAAATTAGGAGAAGGTGTGGAGTTAATAAAAGTATTAGTCAGAGGGCTGAAGAGGGGTTGGTCATTTAGAGAGAATGGATCAAAGTAGAATGACATGGAGAGCATTTAAATCTGTAGGAGAAGGAAGGCGGGGTAGGGGTCGTCCTCGAAAAGGTAGGGGTAAGGGAAGTTTCGTGGCGAGGGGTTTGGACTTCCAGCAGGCGTGCATGAGCGTGTTCGATAGGAGTGAATGGAGACGAATGGTATTTGGGACCTGACGATCTGTTGGAGTGTGAGCAGGGTAATATTTAGTGAAGGGATTCAGGGAAACCAGTTATTTTTATATAGCCGGACTTGAGTCCTGGAAATGGGAAGTACAATGCCTGCACTCTAAAGGAGGGGTTTGGGATATTAGCAGTTTGGAGGGATATGTTATGTATCTTTATACGTATATGCTTCTAAACTGTTGTGTTCTGAGCACCTCTGCAAAAACAGTGATTATGTGTGAGTGAGGTGAAAGTGTTGAATGATGATGAAAGTATTTTCTTTTTGGGGATTTCCTTTCTTTTTGGGTCACCCTGCCTCGGTGGGAGACAGCCGACTTGTTGAAAAAGAAAAAAAAAGAACTAGAAAGAAAATAGAGGAAAATGCAGAGGTATTTTTTTTTTTTTTTTTTATTATCACACTGGCCGATTCCCACCAAGGCAGGGTGGCCCGAAAAAGAAAAACTTTCACCATCATTCACTCCATCACTGTCTTGCCAGAAGGGTGCTTTACACTACAGTTTTTAAACTGCAACATTAACACCCCTCCTTCAGAGTGCAGGCACTGTACTTCCCATCTCCAGGACTCAAGTCCGGCCTGCCGGTTTCCCTGAATCCCTTCATAAATGTTACTTTGCTCACACTCCAACAGCACGTATGTGTATATATATATATATATATGCTTGTAAATGCATGTTTAGTATGACCTAAGTGTAAGTAGAAGTAGCAAGACGTACCTTTAATCTTGCACATTTATGAGACAGACAAAAGACACCAGCAATCCTACCATCATGTAAAACAATTACAGGCTTTTGTTTTACACTCACTTGGCAGGAAGGTAGTACCTCCCTGGACGGTTACTGTCTACCAATCCACTACCTAGTACAGTGGACCCCCGGTTAACAATATTTTTTCACTCCAGAAGTATGTTCAGGTGCCAGTACTGACCGAATTTGTTCCCATAAGGAATATTGTGAAGTAGATTAGTCCATTTCAGACCCCCAAACATACACGTACAAACGCACTTACATAAATACACTTACATAATTGGTCGCATTCGGAGGTGATCGTTATGCGGGGGTCCACTGTATATCTATTTTTTTTTTTTCACAAACCGGCCGTATCCCACCAAGGCAGGGTGGCCCAAAAAGAAAAAAAAAAGTTTCTCTTTTTAAATTTAGTAATTTATATGGGAAAAGGGGTTACTAGCCCCCTGCTCCCGGCATTTTAGTCGCCTCTTACAACACGCATGGCTTACGGAGGGAGAATTCTGTTCCACTTCCCCATGGAGATGAGAGGAAATAAACAAGAACTAAAAAGAAAATAGAAGAAAACCCAGAGGGGTGTGTATATATATACTTGTACATGTATGTGTAGTGTGACCTAAGTGTAAGTAGAAGTAGCAAGACGTACCTGAAATCTTGCATGTTTATGAGACAGAAAAAAGGACACCAGCAATCCTACCATCGTGTAAAACAATTACAGGCTTTTGTTTTACACTCACTTGGCAGGACGGTAGTACCTCCCTGGGCAGCTGCTGTCTACCAACCTACTACCTAGTACGTATATCTGTATTTCTTCTTTCTTTCAACACACCGGCCGTATCCCACCAAGGCAGGGTGGCCCAAAAGAAAAAACGAAAGTTTCTCCTTTTACATTTAGTAATATATACAGGAGAAGAGGTTGCTAGCCCCTTGCTCCCGGCATTTTAGTCGCCTCTTACAACACGCATGGCTTACAGAGGAAGAATTCTATTCCACTTCCCCATGGAGATAAGAAGAAAGGGAGGCGGTAATTTCATGCACTGGCCAGGGAGGTATACCATCTTTTAGGAGTGAAGAAGAGCAGAATGTAAGTGTGGTGGAGGTACGTGAGGCATTACGTAGAATGAAAGGGGGTAAAGCAGCTGGAACTGATGGGATCATGACAGAAATGTTAAAAGCAGGGGGGGATATAGTGTTGGAGTGGTTGGTACTTTTGTTTAATAAATGTATGGAAGAGGGGAAGGTACCTAAGGATTGGCGGAGAGCATGTATAGTCCCTTTATATAAAGGGAAAGGGGACAAAAGAGATTGTAAAAATTATAGAGGAATAAGTTTACTGAGTATACCAGGAAAAGTATACGGTAGAGGCAAAGAGGGGAATGTATGAGAGTATAGTTTTACCAACGCTCTTATATGGGTGTGAAGCATGGGTGATGAATGTTGCAGCAAGGAGAAGGCTGGAGGCAGTGGAGATGTCATGTCTGAGGGCAATGTGTGGTGTGAATATAATGCAGAGAATTCGTAGTTTGGAAGTTAGGAGGAGGTGCGGGATTACCAAAACTGTTGTCCAGAGGGCTGAGGAAGGGTTGTTGAGGTGGTTCGGACATGTAGAGAGAATGGAGCGAAACAGAGTGACTTCAAGAGTGTATCAGTCTGTAGTGGAAGGAAGGTGGGGTAGGGGTCGGCCTAGGAAAGGTTGGAGGGAGGGGTAAAGGAGGTTTTGTGTGCGAGGGGCTTGGACTTCCAGCAGGCATGCGTGAGCGTGTTTGATAGGAGTGAATGGAGACAAATGGTTTTTAATACTTGACGTGCTGTTGGAGTGTGAGCAAAGTAACATTTATGAAGGGGTTCAGGGAAACCGGCAGGCCGGACTTGAGTCCTGGAGATGGGAAGTACAGTGCCTGCACTCTGAAGGAGGGGTGTTAATGTTGCAGTTTAAAAACTGTAGTGTAAAGCACCCTTCTGGCAAGGCAGTGATGGAGTGAATGATGGTGAAAGTTTTCCTTTTTCGGGCCACCCTGCCTTGGTGGGAATCGGCCAGTGTGATAATAAAATAATATATATTATTTTTCCTTTAATGGTGCTTACACTTTGACACTTTATATATACATATTCAGATATTAGTGCAGCAGAAACAAGCTGAAATACCATTTTTCTGACTATAACTTAACATACTTTAACTCTTTTAAAATAATTCTCACTTGTCTATTGCCTCCAGCCTTGACCATTGCCATGATTATGTTTTCCGAAGCCATAAACGGAAGTTCCTGTGTAATGTGGCGATTGATCACTTTAGGGTATACAACTAGTCCTTCAGTGATATTCTGCAGTAATATTAGCACACTATCAGCTGCTAGAAATGAATCAGCCAAACTGATACGCCTGTAATGAAGAATTTTATTATTCAGTTAAGGTTATAATTCAGTAGGTTTATATGATAACTAGTGTTCTCATATGATTAAGACTACTGGATAGTAGAAGTCATTTGTCTCTGTCTTGGTTGAATTTTTTGGTTTAAATCTTTTGTCTACATGAGGATCATTATGGCTGCATTTAACCTGAACATTGCCAGTTAAGACTATTTGAATCTTTAAAGTAGGGATTAAACTCTCAAGTGGTATATATATATATACTGAGATACAGTCACAAACTGCTAGCAAACATAATTTTAAATAACAACCAAGAAAAACCTAGGACCTCTGCTCACTTAATGACCACCTCCCACTCGTACAAAAATAAAACTCTTGGTAGACGAGCCCTTAACCCACTCTCCTAAATAAAAACCACTCATTCATATGACGACCAGATGCCAGTGCAATATTATCCACAGTTTCACTTGTTTTCTTAACAATATCTCTTAAAATATTACTAAACTGGTTTATATTAACATTCACAAAAGAAAATTTATTTAAAGAAATCTGGGCTTGGGAATTCCAACAGGCCTATTTTGAATGAAATCCTATGTCATGCACCAAGTAGTGACTCAGTCCTGAAATGCCTATGTATTGTATGTTTTAGTACAGTACATAATGCTTTATAATATCAGTATCATTTTGAATCACCTGATTTGTTCCTAGTTTCTGGACAGAAGAAGAATGAGAACATATTCATAAAAAAATAATGGCGTTGACCCCCGAAACCCTCTCCCTCTCCTCTCCAGGTATTCTACATATCATATTCCTTATGGATTGTTTTTTCAACAAGTCGGCTGTCTCCCACTGAGGCAGGGTGACCCAAAAATCCCCAAGAAGAAAATACTTTCATCATTATTCAATACTTTCACCTCACTCACACATAATCACTGTCTTTGCAGAGGTGCCCAGATACAACAGTTTAGAAGCATACATAACATATCCCTCCAAACTGCTAATATCCCAAACCCCTCCTTTAAAGTGCAGGCATTGTACTTCCCATTTCCAGTACTCAAGTCCGGCTATATGTACTTGAAAAATATACACCTAAATGGCATTTACAACCAGCTAAATACAGCTTCTGCTCACTTAGCGACGTTTACCGACACCTCAGACTTATGATGGGCTCTCTGACCAGTATGCATATCTAATTAATGTAGAGTAGAGCTGATTTCCTCTATTCTGTTTATTAGAATACACAGTACATTACTGTATGAACATTTAAAAATATATCAGAAATGTTATAAATGGTACAAGGGTAACATTAAAGCAATATCAAAGATCGTTTACCATTATAGTATGCTCCTCACTTAGTGATGAATTCATTTACTGACATGGTCTTAGGAATGGAACTCCATCATTAAGTGAGGAGAGGCTGTATAGAGCAGTGGTTTATAAATGAGATATTAGATTTCCTTCGAATATTACCTGTTGGCACTATCATCAAGTGTTCGCTCCATCCACTGGGTTGCTGCAGTACTTAGGGCATTGGAAGGCAAGGCCATCAGGATGCGTGCTAAGGCACAGCATCGTTCACTACGCATTGGATTACGCTTATATGGCATGGCACTGGATCCAATCTGACTGCTTTCAAATGGCTCTTCTATCTCCTTATTACTAGCTAAAATTCGTATATCAGTGCAAATCTGTAGAACAGAAGATTTTTACAGTCAGTACAACATTTTTGTTTACAAATCATGGTAAAGCTAAGAAAATCTACATAAAAAATAAATTCAAGTCATTATGAGAAATGCTCCATTTGTAATCAGGACTTCAATGATTATTACAGTAATGCTGAAATGTGTCATCTGTTTACAGAGGACACACTTTTCATCATCTCAACTGCAGATCTGGCTACACTTAACAACATAGTCAAACTTGGAAAGATATCTACTTGGATAACACCTAACAAACTTGCACTTAATGTTAATAAGCCCTACATAATGTTGGGGAACAAAGTTACAAAAATTCACTTGAACATAAAGATAAATAATACACCGATTGAAAGGCAGGATGAGGGTAAATTATTGAGCATACACCTGTACAGCACAATAAAATTCAACAAACACATCTAAAAAATTTCTAAGAAAATTTTCAAAAGAATGGGCATTCTTGTACCTTAAGCATCCTTGTTCAATCTATATTACTCTCTAATCTGTCCTTCCTTCACTTAATGTATTTGTGTGTGAGGATCAACAACAGCAAAATACCTGAAACCCGATGTTACAGAACAGAAATCTGCTCTCAGAATGACCATTCATGCAAGTTCCAAGCAACATACACTTCCGTCCATATTCAAAAGTTGAAATCTGCTTAGCATACAAAATATTCACTCTTACAATGGCACATGCTATAGATACAACATGGTCAATACAAAATATGGACACAATACGAGGAATGCGTATCTCTCTGACATATTACATGTTTGAATCAACCTGTTTAGAAATTCCATGCAAATAAAAGGCCCCAAATTATGGAACTTGTTACACAAATAACCCGCACATAAAAGAGAGAAGCTTGTGACTTTGTCAATGGTCCAAGTCGGACCGAAACGTCGTCGTAAGCTTCTCTCTTTTATGTGCGGGTTATTTGTGTATCGTTCCAGTCACGGTATTGTGCCTTTTTGTTATTTATGGAACTTGTTGCCAGAAATTGCCAAAAGTTCTCTGCCAACAGCTTTAACAACAATGTTAAAAACACCTATTAAATCTTACGTAAATGTTATATCCAAAGAATGTTATATACAAAGAATTTTCATTCACACAAATAAATAGAAGATTTTACTGTTATGCAATGTTGTAATAATTGTGTAAATAATACCAGCGCATTCTTTTTTTTTTTTTTTTTTTTCAACAAGTCAGGCGTCTCCCACTGAGGCAGGGTGACCCAAAAAAAGAAAGAAAATCCCCAAAAAGAAAATGCTTTCATCATCATTCAACACTTTCACCACACTCACATATAATCACTGTTTTTGCAGAGGTGCTCAGAATACAACAGTTTAGAAGCATATACGTATAAAGATACACAACATATCCCTCCAAACTGCCAATATCCCAAACTCCTCCTTTAAAGTGCAGGCATTGTACTTCCCATTTCCAGGACTCAAGTCCGACTATATGAAAATAACCGGTTTCCCTGAATCCCTTCACTAAATATTACCCTGCTCACACTCCAACAGATCATCAGGTCCCAAGTACCATTCGTCTCCATTCACTCCTATCTAACACGCTCACGCACGCTTGCTGGAAGTCCAAGCCCCTTGCCCACAAAACCTCCCTTACCCCTTCCTTCCAACCTTTTCAAGGACGACCCCTACCCCACCTTCCTTCCCATTCAGATTTATACGCTCTCCATGTCATTCTACTTTGATCCATTCTCTCTAAATGACCAAACCACCTCAACAACCCCTCTTCAGCCCTCTGACTAATACTTTTATTAACTTCACACCTTCTCCTAATTTCCACACTCCGAATTTTCTGCATAATATTTACACCACACATTGCCCTTAGACAGGACATCTCCACTGCCTCCAACCGCCTCCTCGCTGCTGCATTCACAACCCAAGCTTCACACTCATATAAGAGTGTTGGTACTACTATACTTTCATACATTCCCTTCTTTGCCTCCATAGATAACGTTTTTTGTCTCCACATATACCTCAATGCACCACTCACCTTTTTTCCCTCATCAATTCTATGATTAACCTCATCCTTCATAAATCCATCCGCCGACACGTCAACTCCCAAGTATCTGAAAACATTCACTTCTTCCATACTACTCCTCCCCAATTTGATATCCAGTTTTTCTTTATCTAAATCATTTGATACCCTCATCACCTTATTCTTTTCTATGTTCACTTTCAACTTTCTACCTTTACACACACTCCCAAACTCATCCACTAACCTTTGCAATTTTTCTTTAGAATCTCCCATAAGCACAGTATCATCAGCAAAAAACTGATGGTATCATGATTAAAAAAAAATCTTATCAGAAAATGACAGAAAATATTTTTCTAAGGAAAATGACACAAAAAATGTGTAATCTGATGTAAACTTTATGAAATTACACAGTTGGCTTTATGGGTGCAAGTTATGCATCAGTAATTTCACCCAATTTAGCCCTATTATAAGCCTCCAATATTGAATCACCAGGTCTCCTATACTGAATTCCCAGGCCTCTCCTATACTGATTTCCCAGGCCTCTCCTATACTGAATTCCCAGGCCTCTCCTATACCGAATTCCCAGGCCTCTCCTATACTGAATTCGAATCCAGTACACACACACACACAAAAAAAAAATCAAGTTTTAGCCTATTTCTAGGAAAACAAAATATAACCAAAAATGACTGGTCATGGTTCAGGCCATCCCAAGACTGAAGCAGACCTAGTAAAAACCCATACAACAGACTGGGGTGCCTGGCTGGGCCCTCAACCTTTCCTCAGGAAATTGCCAAAAATTGAATATTTCTGCTTTCTTGTGGAATATTTTACGCCACTTCCAGTCTAAAATTACCTACATCCTTTCAGTTTCACTAGTATGTCTTCTGGCCTATCAAGTAACACCAAGATACAGCCAATAAAACCTTGAAAATCACCCTAGAAAATGCCTCAAATTTGCTATTTTAAGCCATGAACTGTATGGGGCAGATTTTTTTTTTTATACACCCACCCCATTCTTTCATGTCAAGGCCAAAATTTATGAATTACAGCAAATATGATGGCACTCCTAGGTAGTAGGTTGGTAAACAGCAACCGCCCAGGGAGGTACTACCGCCCTGCCAAGTGAGTGTACAACGAAAACCTGTAATTGTTTTACATGATGGTAGGATTGCTGGTGTCTTTTGTCTGTCTCATAAACATGCAAGATTTCAGGTATGTCTTGCTACTTCTACTTGCACTTAGGTCACATTACACATACATGTACAAGCATATACTATATACACACACCCCTCTGGGTATTCTTCTATTTTCTTTCTAGTTCTTGTTCTTGTTTATTTCCTCTTATCTCCATGGGGAAGTGGAACAGAATTCTTCCTCCATAAGCCATGCGTGTTGTAAGAGGCGACTAAAATGCCTAGTAAATGGCTAGTAACCCCTTCTCCCGTATAAATTACTAAATTTAAAAGAGAAACTTTTGCTTTTCATTTTGGGCCACCCTGCCTTGGTGGGATATGGCCGGTGTGTTGAAAGAAAAAAAATGATGGCACTATGATTAAGATATAGATCTATGCTAGTTACATCGGTTTCAGTGACACAGATCTGCATTAAAGACAGCGAAAGGAATTAAAAATATTTCCTGCCTCCCTTTTAGGAAATGTAATGGTCCTTTTGATGCTCTAGGAATTATCTAACAAAGTAGCTCTAGCAACAGAAAACAACAGCTACAAAGGATTGCATAAATTAACAAAAGCACTGACCTTATGAGCTGTTGAGCCGAGTGAAGCCAAAACATTGAGACATTCCACATCCACCTTACGAGTATATGTCTGTCCACACACTATATACACCTCCTTGAAGCCTGCCATCTGTGTTACCAATTCATCCAGCTTCTTAACTTTCTCATTATCACCTGTGGTAATTACACATTTGAATGAATTCCAATTAAACAACAAATCCCTTCGTATACAAAAGGATAATTATCTGAAACTGTATAAAAATGACATTCATTAAAATATTATTACATAATTCAAGAAGATTTTGCAGATAATTTACATGAGCTACTCACAAAATTTTATTCACATGTGTATACCTTGTACATGTACTTGTAGAAATAAAGACATTATTATACATGAATATTATCTGCAATACCTGGAGTATACCTGGAGAGGGTTTTGGGGGATCTGGCCTTAGATGAACTGACCCACATCATAATAAGATTAGAAAAAAAACAAGAAATCTACACAACAAGGTTACCTTCAAACAGTTGGAGGAATGATGCTTGAGTACCAGTAGTGCCTTTGACCCCTCGGAAGCGCAGATCATCCCGTGCCCTGCGTATGGCTCTCTCATCCATTAAAAGCTCTTGAGTCCATAAAGTGGTTCTTTTTCCAACTGTTGTTAATTGAGCAGGCCTAAAAAATATCCAACTTTTTGTCAATATTGATATTATCATAAAAATAATATTAAAAGGGAAAGGAAACCTTGAATCCTTCAAGCACACAAACTAAATCACCAGACAATGTAAACAAGTGCTAAGTTTGATCATGGCTTGGATGGTGCCAAGGTAACAGGGAATTACAAAAACTTTCAAAGCATTTCTATCAAATCATTTCGGCTGACAAGTACAGGTTACATAAAGAGATACATGTTTTTTTTTTTTTTTTTTTTTTTTCAACAAGTCGGCCGTCTCCCACCGAGGCAGGGTGACCCAAAAAAGAAAGAAAATCCCCAAAAAGAAAATACTTTCATCATCATTCAACACTTTCACCACACTCGCACATTATCACTGTTTTTGCAGAGGTGCTCAGAATACAACAGTCTAGAAGCATACACATATAAAGATACACAACATATCCCTCCAAACTGCCAATATCCCAAACCCCTCCTTTAAAGTGCAGGCATTGTACTTCCCATTTCCAGGACTCAAGTCCGACTATATGAAAATAACCGGTTTCCCTGAATCCCTTCACTAAATATTACCCTGCTCACACTCCAACAGATCGTCAGGTCCCAAGTACCATTCATCTCCATTCACTCCTATCTAACACGCTCACGCACGCTTGCTGGAAGTCCAAGCCCCTTACCCACAAAACCTCCTTTACCCCCTCTCTCCAACCCTTTCGAGGACGACCCCTACCCCGCCTTCCTTCCCCTATAGATTTATATGCTTTCCATGTCATTCTACTTTGATCCATTCTCTCTAAATGATCAAACCACCTCAACAACCCCTCCTCTGCCCTCTGACTAATACTTTTATTAACTCCACACCTTCTCCTAATTTCCACACTCCGAATTTTCTGCATAATATTTACACCACACATTGCCCTTAAACAGGACATCTCCACTGCCTCCAACCGTCTCCTCGCTGCTGCATGTACACAGAAAAAAATATTCAGGAGGAAAGATTAAATGAAGTAGATGAATGCCCAACAGCAAAGTATGATGAAGCCCACTGAAATAACCAGATAAGAAGTAAACTACTACTGAATATTGGCAGTGTGGATAAAGAAGATTGTTTGGAAGGGTTGAGAAACAAGGATGGACAAAAATGGAAATTACCACTAAATTGAACCATGTGCTGAGGATTATTTCCAGCATAAGTACAGTGAGTGAGTGAAGCACACAAGGGGTGGAGTAGTGGAGGCAAATCCATGCATAAATGGTGAACAGATTAGATTACTGAAATAGGATTCAAGAAGTAGTAATAGGTGTTGCCTACAACAGAAACTAAAACAAATTATTGGTATGAAAAACTAAATACTGAAGATGGCACACAATTACCACAGCTCTTTTGTAATTAAAAGTAGATAATCACATTGAACCAGCCAGTGTTTAAGAGGTAGGATACAGTGTATGTACTTGCCACTATCTATTTTTGTCTCTATATCTGCATGTACCTGTTTGTGTTCGCATTTTCTTTAGTTTTGCCAGTTTCAATACAAAACGTAGTTAGCTCAATTGAAATCAATTCACTTGTTGGTTAGTCCCCCAACAGCCTCCTAACAAGGTGGGCATACAAGTACCCCACACCCACTTCCTAACAAGGTGGGTGTGGGAGCATGAGTCCCTCACACCCATCTCCTGACAGGGCAGATGATGTGGCCTGAGATCCCCTCCCCCCACCTACCTCTAGAAAAGGCAGATGTTGGGGGTACGAGTCCTGGGGTGCGAGTCCCTCATATCTGCCATCTGCCTCCTGACAAGGCAGCTATAGTGGTCTCCCCCCCCCCCCCACATTCCTCCTGATAAAGGGGTAAGGGGGTATGAGACTCCTACCCAACTCCTAACAAGGCAAGTGTAGGGAGTGCAAATCCCTCACGCTCCTCCTCTTTCAGGTGGATGAGGGTGTGTGCATCTCCACACCCACCACCTGACAACACGAGTGCAAGGAAACACAAATTTTTGAAATGTATGAGAAAAAAGTATACCTGGGCAGTATGCCTACTACTATTCAACAAGATTCACATTTTAAGTAAAAAAAAAATCAAGCCATATACAAAATTATTTGTATTATATACCGTAGTACAGCGTGTGTTTAAAACACTGTAGACTGGTTCATATGTGGCTGCAGCATGCTAAAACAATGTTGCACATATTATTGCATACATACCTTAAGTATTAAATTCTCATCAACTAGTTTCAATCTACTGCTGGATAAATACTGTGAAGGCATACTCAGCCCTGTAACAACTTCAGACAGTATTACCAAGGCTGGCTCCTCCTCAGGAAAATTAATGAATAGAAAAAGAAATAATAATTCACAAAGATAAACACCTTATTATTTATTAATGCAAAGATAAAACATTGAAATATGAAGGTGTATCCTACTTGAAAGAAAAATTAAATGGAAAAATAACATTTGAATTCAACGCTAATATGTACAGTTATACTGGGGTGTTTGGTTGAAGTTGACACCATCTTGTAGAAATTGTAGCCGTTGCTGATGATGTGGGGGGGAGGGGGGGCACAGGTGTTGAGTGACAACCCAACGACTAGTTCTTCACAGAGTCTATAGCCTTGAATAGTCAGTCCAGATGACAGGAATGCAGGTTCTTTACCACAGAAAAGATGAGGGGTAGTGTCCTGTACAATTAATCAGGTAGGTAGATAATGAAGTGACGTCCCAAGACCTTTTCAGTCCATCTCCTTCAACACTTCTCGTTGGTTGGCAAGTGACCCGATCTGTCATTCCAAGCTGGAAAGAGAGACAGGTTACCCACTGCTTAAGAAATCACTCTCCATGATAAGTGCAAGATACTTAAAAAAGGTGGTGATTATCTAAAAGTCTCATGTGGAGCTTAAAACTGAAAGGACTAAGTTTATTATTGGTCAAAAGTGAAGCTTTCAACCAATATGCACTAGAATAGAAGCAGAGGCTTTTACTTACAGTTGTGCTGGGAGCTGTGAGTTGAGTGATTACTGTTTGGCCGGAGCCCCGCACGTCACCTTTCGGGGTGGGGAGAAAAGGGGGGGGGGAAAGCGGGAGCTAGACTGACCTTACCTTAACAAGCAGCCGGCAATCAAACTATCGTTACCATATACTCGCTCGCTACTCCTATCTGCTGAACTTTTCCCTCACAAATACATTCACATAACTTCCAAATATCATGAGTGTATCCTTTCCTAGATCATGAGTACTGTATTTACAAATGTCTTATTTAATATATTTGTCTAAAAGTTTGTCTCTGAACATTTTCCTTACATACACAATTTCCGAATTTCTTAAATTACCTAATAAATTTTAGTTTCTATAAAAACAGGAAGTACTGCACTGTAAAGTGAATAGAGTACATATTATGAACGGACTTCTGTGTTTGTCTTGATTGTTTATGGAAGTCTTGCTTTTCCTTGGACAGTTGGGGTATGTTCCCTTTACATGAGTTAGAGAGGCTTGCTCTCTCTCTCTCCAGTTTCCTGTCTTGTCTTGACATATTAATTGGGTTATCAAACACCAGTTCCCTTTTTCTACACCATGGACTGTATATGGCTTTTTGGGGAAGCCGGTCACTGACTCAGGATGTGTGCGAGTACCTGCCTAGGTTTTTTGCATTGATATCCAACTTTTCTGTTTGTGCATGTTTTTTTCCTTACATTTTTTGCCCAAATTTTTGTAATATTTCCTCTCTAGAGACTGATTTGCAGGAATTAACAGTTTATTTTGTGAAATCAATTAATGCAACAATAGAGTACAATGAGAAAAAATGAGACATTCATAGAAAACACAGCAAGAGTGACAACTGGGATGATTATATTTTACAGAAAATGAGTAATATTGAGACCACGTATATCAATAGTACTATATATTGACCAGTATGTGAATAAATGCCATAAATTGCATATCATATCTTGTTCACATATAGAGACCAAACTTACTGCAGATGAGTGTAACCAAGTGTTGGCTGATCTTTGTGCTCTAAGGCAAACTTGGCTAATCGGTGAATACAACGGGCAACTTTGGGCAGCAGTATGTCAAAGCCATCGCGAAGAACAATCAAATCCTGTAGTTAGTGATGCTGAATTAATAATAGCATGCACAATAATACTGTGATAAAAATACTGTGTATACATATTAAACACAGTATAGCTTATTAATTCTCACTGCATATGAGAACCTAATGTGAAGTACATATTCGGGATCAGATGACATGGAGGGTGCATAAATTTGTAGTAGACGGAAGGCAATGTAGGGGTCATCCTAGGAAAGGATGGAGAGAGGGGACAGAGGAGGTTGGACATCCAACAGGCATACATGAGCGTATTAGATAGGAGTGAATGGAGACAAATGGTTTTTATGACTTGACATCCTGCTGGAGTGTGAGCATGATAATATTTATGAAGGAATTCAGGGAAACCAGCTAAGTGGACTCGAGTCCTGGAAGTAGGAAATACAGTACCTGCACTCTGAAGGAGGGGTGGGGATACTGCAGTTTGGAGGGGCATCTGAGCTAAATTACTGGTGTGCCTCTGGCAGGACAATGATGGAGAAGGTATTGATGAAAGTGTTTTTTTTTTTCTTTTTTCCAGTTACTCGACATTGGTGGGAGACCACTGGAGTTAAAGAAAAAAAAAGAGTAAGAACTATAGTAAGCATTCTAAAAAGTAAGAATGTGTACTAATAAGTTAAAAAGAAGAAGTCTGTCAAGTAGTTTACTTTTTTTTTTTGTGTTGATTATGAGACCTAACTTGATGTTATTAATTCTAAAGTTAACATAGCTACATATGTATTGGTTTCTGTTGCTGGAGAAGGATTAAATAAAGTTTTAGGAGAAACTTGTCATTCCATGTGAGTTAAGTTGGGAATATGATTTGAGGATCTCTATATCTTTAAAATCTTAAGTTTTTATTTGCTCACTAACTTCAGTGGTACAAATGCATAATCACTTGGTCATTCAAAACATATTTTTACAGACAATACTAAAAATCCCTTTTACTTGTGGACTGTGCACCAATTCACCGTTATGTATATTTAACATAATCTGAAAGTCTCCCACAAATATCAAGTTCTAAATCATTCTCAAAATCCATTTCTGTAAATTTGAAATTGCTCTCATTTCTAAAGTCCTACAAAATCACAGTACTTCAAATACATACTGTATTATCTCCCACATAGCAAGAAGTAGCACCCAGATGTATGATTGGGGCAGCTTTTGGACAGGCCACTGCAAAAGTACGAACGTGGGCCATGGTATCATGTCTAATCTTTTCTTCTTCTTTTGCAGCAAATTCATAATCAATGTTATCCCAATTGGCTTCCATTTCCTTTATTTGCTCATCTGTGATTGGCAGCCCTAGCTCCTGCAACAAATTACAATATGTATAAGCAGGGTTTTACAAAATCAACATTTTAAATAACTTATTCTTTGAAGTCAAAGTACAGTATAAAATACTGAGCAATGTATCTGCACATGGTGTATTGGCTGAAATCTAAATTGTCAGTATACTGTAAACACAAATGCTTCATTGCTCCACAGTGTGTTACATGGATATATGGAATGTATCTATAATCATTTTGAAGGGTTCTTCTACCCGAGGTCAGGCTTCGCTGCTGACTACCTGGTCAGCAGCAGTGCTAGAGGCCTACAAGCCCACATAGCCACCACAACCAGGCTGATCACGATGGTCAACAATTTTCTGCTATATTCATGGAAAGCATTTAAACAATAATGGTCACACAGTGCTATATAGCACTGCTATATATATATGCTATATATATATACTATATAGCAGTGCTATATAGCACTGCTATATATATATGCTATATATATATACTATATAGCAGTGCTATATAGCACTGTGTGAATCAAGAGAACAAAACTACCAGCTGATGTAGCAAACTGGTGACAATTAACAAATCATGATAGGACCATCAGAAAGGAGGGTGGACAAAGTCCTGGAACAATCAATCAGATGGTGGGCTATCACGACAACCTGGCAATTCTCACAGAAGGGAGAAGCTGCTCCTCTCTGTGAATGCTGCTTCCCACAACTAGCTGCAATGGAGACAGGACATTTAAAAGCCTCATTGTGGTATCATAAAAAAAACTGCCAATAAAGATACCTGGAGATGATTTTAGGGATCAACACCCCCACAGCCCAGTCTGTGACCAGGCCTCATGGTGGATTAGAGCCTGATCAACCAGGCTATTACTGTTGGCTGCACACAAACCAGCATACAACCCATAGCCTGGCTTGTCAGGTACTGACCTTACGTGCCTGTCCAGTGCCTCCTTGAAGACAGCCAGGGATCTATATGTAATCCCCCTTAAGCATGCTGGGAGGCAGTTGAACAGGCTTGGGCCCCTGACACTTACTGTGTTGTCTCTTAGTGTACTCATGGTGCTCCTGCTTTTCACTGGTGGGGATGCTGCATCTTTTGTCCAGTCTTTTGCTTTTGTAGGGAGTGATTTCTGTGTGTAAATTTGGCACTAGTCCCTGCATGATTTTCCAAGTGTATATTACCATGTATCTTTCTCGCCTGCATTCCAGGGAGTACAAATCAAGGGACTTCAATTGTTCCCAGTAATTTAGGTCCCAGTAATTTAGGTGTAGTATTACATGCCAACACTAACAGTATAATTCATCAGGACTAATGGTGTTAATAAAAAATAATAAATATAAATAAACATACATATACACATACATATGACAAAGGAGTTTCAACACTACTGTACATCATTTGTGAAATCAGGTCATCGAAATTATTAAGACTGGCAACAAATTTTCATCAAAGAAATTGATGTAGGTCTGTGTTATTATGGGTCACAGAGTTCTGCATTAATTCATTAATACATAATGTTGTACAATAATTTATAGAGTAAGTTTATTCAGTCACAGGTACACATAAGTACAATTATCATACATAGTACAAATTACCTAGGATAACTTAATGTAATATTAACGTTAACACTAATAGTGAAAGAGGAAGAAATGTTAATTAAGACCATATAGTAACAGCATAAGGTGATATAAAATAACAATGCAATATAAAGCAATACAAAGTACAGACAGTACAATATATAATATACCTTCTCAGCCCTGGCCAGATATGTCCATAATTTGCGCCAGGTGGTGAACTTTTTAGTTTCACTGAAGTTGAATGACATCTCAGTTGAGGCATATCTGTAGGAGAGAGGGTTACGATAATGGTCGTATAGGCTGGTAGTTGCCATCGTCAGTACCCGGTGCGGTCTACCTGCTGGGGTGGGGTCAAGAGCTGCAACTTGTTGCTGTCTGAAGGGTTACACCGGAGAGCTGTTACCACCCGGGTCCACTTGGTGTTGTTGGGGGTGTTAAGGTTCACCAAAGTTGACGCCTTAGTGACCTCTGCTTCTCCTGGATCTGGGCGAAAAAATATGTTGCCAAAAATGTGGGCGGGAATTATAAATTCAAATTCAAATTCAAATTCAAAGTTTATTCTCTATAAGGATTACAATGCTGAGTTTACAGGAATTTGGTTATTGTGTGGTTTACATGTAGTAAAATAGTGATTACAGAGTGTACCACTAGAACGCTTAGCATGGCTAGGCATTTCGGGCAGACTTAGTTTTATTCTTAATTGTAAAATATTACAAATTATGAGGTAAGTTGGTATTATGGCTAAGTGACTAAATACTAGTTTGTGAGTTTAGCAATGTGAATGCTTTTGTTTTGGCACAGTACATAGTTTCAGTATTGGTGTATCACAGGATTCATTATTTTAAGATTGAGATTAATATTTCTGTTTATGGTCAAATGAGTCAGTGAGTGTAAGTGTGAACCACCAGGTGGTATTCGTGTAGTTAGTTGACAGGGTGTATCAGGGAGATAAGATGTTTTCTAATGGTAGTTTTGAAGGTGATGAATGTGTCTGCAGTTCTAGAGTTCTCAGGTAGGGTATTCCAGATTTTAGGGCCTTTGACATACATTGAATTTTTGTAAAGGTTTAGTCGGACACGGGGAATGTCGTAGAGATGTTTGTGTCTGGTGTTATGCCTGTGGGTTCTGTCACAACTATCAAGAAAGCATTTTAGGTCAAGGTTGATATTAGAGTTTAAGACCCTATAGATGTAGATTGCACAGTAGTAAGTGTGGATGTACTGAACAGGGAGTAAGTTTAGGTCTATGAAGAGTGGGGGGGGTGTTGCCAGGGATGGGATTTAGTGATTATTCTTGCTGCAGCTTTTTGTTGGGTTATTATTGGCTTTAGGTGTGTTGCTGCAGTTGATCCCCAAGCACAAATAGCATAGGTGAGGTATGGATAAATAAGTGAGTGGTATAGTGTGAGAAGGGCATTTTGCGGCACGTAGTATCGTATCTTGGAGAGGATCCCAACCGTTTTGGATACTTTTTTGGTTATATGCTGGATATGGGTGCTGAAATTCAGGTTGTTGTCAAGGTATAAGCCTAGGAATTTGCCCCCATTATTTCTGGTAATTAGAGTGTTGTCAATCTTAATGTTAATTTGTGCATCTCCTGCTCTGCTACCAAACATAATATAGTAGGTTTTGTCAGTGTTAAGCGTAAGTTTATTGGCTGTCATCCAAGTCGATATTTTGATCAGCTCCTCATTCACAATGGTGTTGAGGGTGGCAAGATTAGGGTGAGAGATGACATAAGTCGTGTCGTCAGCAAGGTGTGTGTGACTCAACAATCAATATTTGCACCAATAACTCATTACAGTTGTGACCGGGTGTGGAAGTGTGAATTGCTCATTACTCTATAATTTGTTCATGATTGTAGCCAAAGTATAAACGTAAGTAACCATTCTACAGAATTCATTACCTTTGTAACTTGTGAGCTCATTGCCTTTGTACCTAGTTCAGCTATCAAAACTTTGGGGGCCCAGTCCCTGGACCCATTACGTACCTCTGTAATCTGTAAATACCTTTGTAACTTGTCATGATTGTGACCAGACTTACCTGGAGTTCATTACCTTTGTAAATTGTGAGTTCATTACCTTTGTAAATTGTGAGTTCATTACCTTTGTAAATTGTGAGTTCATTACCTCTGTAACTTGCTCAGCTATCAAAACTTTGGAGTCCAGTCCCTGGACCAATTATGTACCTCTGTAATCTTTTGACTACCGCCCACAGGATGGGTATGGGGTGCATAATAAACATATTAAACTAACTAACAGCAAAGAGAATGGGTTTCAGGTGTTGGGATACGTTTGGAAGGTCATTGATGTATATGAGGAAGAGCAGGGGACCAAGGACACTTCCCTGCGGAACTCCAGTATCAAGTGGCCGTGTTGCTGATGCTGTGTCTTTAATGGTGACATACTGATACCTATTAGTAATGTAAGATTTGAAATAAGCAAGCGCATGGCCTCTTATACCGTAATGATCAAGTTTGTGGAGTAGGATGTCGTGGTCTACTGTGTCAAAAGCTTTTCTTAGGTCAATAAAAATTCCTAGTGGATATGACGCAAGAATCCCCACAGAAAGGGAAATGGGAACAATAAGTTCCCAGTTAGGACAGGTGGACTACCTGTCAGTATAAAATGGGTGAATGGTTGATAGTTGATTGGTGTGGGTCGCATCCTGGGACAAAATTTACCTAATTTGCCCGAAATGCTCTGCATAACAAGCGGCTTTCTGTATAGTAGTATGTCATTGATGTCAGCTATGGTCTGTATACCTTGTACATGTACTTGTAGAAATAAAGATATATTATTATTATTATTATTATTATTATTATTATTATTATTATTATTATTATTATTATTATTATTAAATACAAGTTCAAAACTTTTAAGTATCTTATTACTACTAAAACATTAATCATTATCGGGTCGTAGTATCTTCAAAATCATTTCGTTTATATAGTAGACGCAAAATGTGGATACATTCTCAAAATTTCAGATACCATTAACAATGAAATGTTTTTCCATATCCCGTAAGGTTAGCATGGAAGTATCTCTGAAAGGCTGGACGTTGTGACACTTTAGGACATAGTGTCTCTGTCCACACTGTTTAATGTCATCGGCATCTCTATATAAACCGTACTGTCAGAGGTACTTACAGCTTAGCCTTAGTTTAGCATCATATTGCAATCTGCTGAATTTGTTACTTTATCCATAAATGTGCTTAACTTCATACATTGCATTATGACTGACAGTTGGTCCGCTAATTCCTATTAGTACTGCTCTAATTTCTTCAAACTCATATGCTAGCTTTCATCTGGCAACATTTTTTAAACTTCTATTTGAGAAACCAAAATTATATTCGACATTTGCTCCGTTTAATGCTTGCTTTGCTAAGTTATCAACTTTATTATGCTCCTGGAAACCTATGTGAGATGGAATCCACAAAAACTTAACTACTATCCCAGCTTCATACACAAGTATGCTACATTCAGGTCTCAGGGCATTTAGAGCAAGTGATGAGGAAAGAAAGCTAGTTATAGTTAAACTATCAGAGGTCGTAGTTTCCACAAGCTTGAGGGCAAACAGTTCAGTTTGTAAGCTGGAAGGACAGTAATTTATTCTAATATATTTCTGCATTGCAATACCATCAGGATGGTTAACAGTAACAACACTTCCTGCCCTCCCACTGTCAGGGTTAAGGGAGCCATCAACAAAGATAACTTGTTGGAAATAAATGGTATAAAATACCGACACAATGGAAATATAAACACATATGCAGTATAATGTGATCCTTTATTGACAACGTTTCACCCACACAGTGGGCTTTTTCAAGTCACACGAAAAAGCCCACTGTGTGGGTGAAACGTTGTCAATAAAGGATCACATTATACTGCATATGTGTTTACATTTCCAAAGATAACTTGTAGTTTGTGTGATGGTATTTTTTGTCTGCAGGTCATATATTTGTTCCAGGTCACTGAGTTTAGACAGTAATAAAAAACGAGGATTGTGTATGATGGGTTTCTTAGGAGGATAGATGGGCATAGTGATATCAAAAGCTGTTATCTGTCAGGATGGCGAGAAATGCTGTTTTTCCTAGCATGATACAGTTCGTGTAGTCCAAACATTTTAATGTATGCAGCTGTTATTGGAATCCATCTTGATTCACTTGTCCCATGAGTTGTATGTTTTAGTAATTGTCTAGAACAACATTGTTTTGATCACCAGGCAGCAGCTTCAGCCCTATCATGACATGGATTTCATGTGTTCTATTAGCAACACTAGTTATATCTAATTCTTTCATCATATTAAATATTTTGATGGTTATAGGATAACCAAAAAATAATTCTCCGGGTTTCATTTTCTGTTTTTATTATTTAAGTCTCTGAGTGGTTCTAAATTTGGCTCATGGTAATCTATCAGCGATCTCATGTACGCTAAATATATAATTTTAGCAATTGTAATTTTTGCACCATACAACAATTCGGAGAGGTCTAGGTCTGTCTCTACATTATTGGGTAATATTATTCACAGCTATTAGTGCATATGGAACAGTAATGCCTAGATATTTACAGGACACATAATCAATAGGCCTGTCACTAACCTTTAATTTTCATGGTCCGCTTTAACAGTCACCAATATGTCTTGTTAAACACTGATCTTTCATACAGAAATTATAAAGCCTAGATTATTACAGGCTGTCTGTATATGATTTAATATGGTTTGCATTTCGCGATGCGATTTAGTATGCACAACAATGTAATCAGCATAGTTGTGATATTGCTGGTAGTTTCTAGAATAGATTGAAGTAAGGCATTGATTAATATAGTAAATAGTATAGGACTTTAATGTACCGTCTTGAAAAGTGCCAAGTTGTATTTCTTTAGTTTCACGTTTGTATCCCTGAAACAATGCAGCAGATTTTCTGTTAGTGAGATAATGAAGAAAACATTGAAAATGCCGACTATCTATAATTATTTTAGTTCATACACAATAACTTACCTATTTCTAACATCAAAATAATTTTTAATGTTAAGAGTCGTGTGTTTGTGCCGTTTGTCCCCAGGTACACTTACAAATTTTGCAACACGCTTTGGTCCATTGTTTATGCAATAATCTTTTAAGTGCTATTCTCATAAATGTTTTATACAGACAGCTGGTCAGCGAGAGGGCGAAATACACCATGCTGACTAAGTCTAGGAATTCGTACAACAGTGCTATGGGTCCATGACGAAAGTTACCGACCCATAACATAGCTAATATTACACAAATAACCCGCACACAGGAGAGGCGTTTACGACAACGTGTCGGTCCGACTTGGACCATTTACAAAGTCACAGTAACAGGAAAGAAGGAGGCAGTATATATAGGCCAGGTGACAGAATTATTGGGTCAGTGTGTGTCTAGCCACAAGACAGTCATGGGTCAGAGATCGTCAAGCCATGTTTCAGTGAGAGGCAAGCGTTAATGAGTGGCAAGGAATGTATT